GCGCCCATTTACCTCCGCCGCACAGAAAATAGTCCGGGTTCAATCGCGAATATCTCAGCTTCTACTTGTAAAAGTGAGCTAATTATTTGGCTTTCCCTTAATTATGAACTTTATAACAATCTATTAAAGTTTCATCGATTTTCACCGAGAGCCGCTGAGCCCATGCTCTGTGCGGGGTTCTTTGGGCTGCATTTTGCCCTTAGCTGGTTTGAGTATGAAGACGTCGCTTGATTCAGGCGTTAAAGCTATATCATTACAACAAGAAGATCGATGTCCACACCAACGATACCAACTTGTTTTTTCTTTCCTCTCGGCAGACTGATAGCTTCATTTTCGATGAGAGTGTCCGCATCGTCCTCTGCTTGAGATAATTTAACTTGACTCCCTGTAGTAAAGTGTTTCGATAGCAAGCAAATCAAACGCGCCTCATTCTTTTCATTAGATAGAAGCAAGTCCTGGGCCACGGATAGAGGAGTGTCCTCAAAAAAAATTAAGGCAGGACATTTCTTAAGGCTATTACGTCGTCACCTTTCTACGCTTTTTGTAGAATCGGGTGCGCTTTTTGTTCGTATCCATCAAAAACAATTGAACCTTCAAGACCGTCATGCTTTTCAACATATAGGCACCTAATAAGCGATTCCACCGTTTAAGGTAATAAACGAAGAAATGCTTGTCTTATTCCTATTTCTATATTTTATATTAATTCATTTCCTTTTAGTTACTTTGAAAAAAGAAGATTGTTGTTTGACAAATTGGATTTGAATAAGAAAGCATAACATTATAACATTATCTTCAATCGTGACCGTTGACAGTTAGGTATTAACTATACAACTAGAATGACATAAGAGGGGGGGGGGGAGGTTAATGATAAAAGGAAATGAGTTTATGCTTAAATGGATAATGTAACATACCTTCGCGGTAAATCTACCAAAAAGGTGAAGCTGTTTCATCTTGGACCGCAACAATGGAGATGTTGCATGAGTGAGGAATTTGCGACTTGACTGTTGATTATAATGTAAAAGTTCGTGAGAAACACGATGGTGCCACTGGTTTTCTCTGAAGTCAATTCCCAAGCTCAAAAAAAGCTCTCAAAGTGAGGCCAAAATGGAGGGGATATCCCACCCTACCCTGAGAGTCCACATCTACATCAGGACAACCTCTCCATGCACAGATAGAGAGCAAATACGTTGACAGGGCTGCCACTTTATTTGGGGACTCCAAAACTGAAAAAACGGCAACTCTTCTAATGTATTTGCTCCCTGTCTTTGCATGGAGAGTTAGTTTTGATGCAGAGGTGGACTCTCGGGGTAGGGTGGGATATCCCCTCCATTTTGACCTTAACTTGAGAGCTTTTTTTGAGCTTGGGAGTTGACTTCAGAAAAAACCAGTAGCACCACCGTGTTTCTCGCGAACTTTTACATATGAATCAAGGGTCAATTTGCAAATTCCTCACATATGCAACATCTCCATTCATGGCGCGGCCAAGCCGAGCCTCACCGTGTAGTAGCCGCCGTTGGTTCGGACCGCATAGCGCTCCGGGTGCGGACCTTCTAGTAAATGTATAAGCATTTTTAGCATGGACATTTTATGCTCTGTTATTTTGGTAAGAACAGTTTTTTGCCTCAGACTCGCCGTTTTTAAGATAATTACAGATTTCGTTGAAAAAACGCGATTTCACGCAAGATTTGACTTTCCTAGCCGCATGAAACTACCGCCATATCTCACGAACCAGAAGTCACAATTTGATAAATGTAAAATGTTTCTAATAGAAAATATGATCTTTTTAAAAGATTCTTTAACATTTGTCCGTAGGATTGATATTTTTCAAGATACAAGCTAAAAACCGGTCGCCGGCGGCGTATTTTGGCCCCCAGCCCCCCCCTTTTTTCAAGATGGCGGCCTTAGCGGACAGCCGTTTTAGGTAAACTTTTTATATGTTGTTCTGGTAGCCTATTGCAACATGTTTCCGGAAGAAAACCTTCTTTATATGGATTTTCTCAGATTACCCCTATTTAGAGCTAATTTGACTGGACTATTATGCTGTGACAGTGGTTCTCAAGAACGCTACGATAAATAAGTTAATAAGTAGTCCAGTCATTTGAGGATAATAATGGCCCCTATGCGGTTTTAAGAGCGAAACTTTTTTTCTCACCTGATTTCTCATCCATAGAGGGTCCTTAACGAGAATCCAAATTTGCGACACCGGCACCTTATGGGGAACTCCCCATCCCCCAAAATCGAATAAAACCGCCATAAATCTGCGTTTTTCTCTCGTTTTTCGGCTAGTATCGCAAAAACCGCTCATTTTTTGAGTAAGTGTGTAAGAACTTGCCTAAAAGTAGATAAAATTACGAACATTTTCCACCCGGTCCGAAATTTTTCCGATAAAAAATGTGCACACTACAAGGCTGCCAAAAAAATTCCAAAATGTTCAAAATTTCATTTTTTTAAGGTTTTTTGCTGGTAACTTTTTTTCCAGCAATTTTAGAACGTAAGTGTAATGAAAGTAGATTCAAAATGCTACAATTTTGTGTATCAGACTTGTCCGTATGGCGTAACGAAACGGCCGGCGGCGTTGCCAAAGTTACGGTCTCCAAGGGCATTTTCCGCGGCGGTGCATTTCATGCAACTGCCCCACTCAATTTTACTTGAAAAATTTTGCGAAAAACTCTCTGGATTATGTTTTCTATGTATTTTTTAGCGCTGAAACCGAATCTGAACGTTTCTGCCTTTGATTTTTGCCGCTAAAGCCGCCATCTTGAAAAAACGTTGCCTAATCTCATTTTTTGACCAAAAATCGTTAATAACTCGTTCCTTGTGCGTCGGGCGGCTAAACAAGTTATTGCAGAATGAAAGTACATAAATTTTGGTTTAGAATTATGTATCAAAGTTATGATAACATGCGTATACCATCCGCCAGAGCGCGTTGAAAATAGCGGGAAATTTGAAAAAATCGCATTTTTTTGCGGTTCTCTCAAATATCTTTTTTCCTAGCGGTTTTGCGGGAAAATCGGTGGCACAAAAATGAAAGTAGACAAAAAATGCTACTAGAATCAATCTTAGTTTTTGGACCAGTGATTGTTACAGCATCAACGATTTTTGGTCAAAAAATGAGATTTGGCAACGTTTTTTCAAGATGGCGGCTTTAGCGACAAAAATCGAAGGCAGAAACGTTCAGATTCGGTTTCAGCGCTAAAAAATACATAGAAAACATAATCCAGAGAGTTTTTCGCAAAATTTTTCAAGTAAAATTGAGTGGAGCAGTTGCGTGAAATGCACCGCCGCGGAAAATGCCCTTGGAGACCGTAACTTTGGCAACGCCGCCGGCCGTTTCGTTACGCCATACAGACAAGTCTGATACACAAAATTGTAGCATTTTGAATCTACTTTCATTACACTTACGTTCTAAAATTGCTGGAAAAAAAGTTACCAGCAAAAAACCTTAAAAAAATGAAATTTTGAACATTTTGGAATTTTTTTGGCAACCTTGTAGTGTGCACATTTTTTATCGGAAAAATTTCGGACCGGGTGGAAAATGTTCGTAATTTTGTCTACTTTTAGGCAAGTTCTTATACACTTACTCGAAAAATGAGCGGTTTTTGCGATATTAGCCGAAAAACGAGAGAAAAACGCCGATTTTTGGCGGTTGGGGGGTTCCCCATGAAGTGCCGATGTCGCAAATTTGGATTCTCGTTAAGGACCCTCTATGGGTGCGAAATCAGGTGAGAGAAAAAGTTCCGCTCTTAAAACTGCATAAAATTTCCATATGACTGGACTAAAGTAATAAGTTGATAAGTTAGGATAATTGACTGTAAAACACCCAAACCAAGTATCTTTACAAAAACGTCTCGTTGTTTTAAAATCTTTGCTCCAATAAAAAGCAATGCAGTCTTTTTTGAAGTGGAACAAAGCCTCGTTCCTTGAAGTTTTCACAGAATTTTCTTTGTTGAGAGTGTTGAGAGAAGAACAATCACATAAATTTTTTAGATTAGACATTGCGTAATTTTTCATTTAAAAAGGAAAGAGTTATAGGGAGTCGCAAACTGAGGTATCAATTACGGGAGTTTCACCGTCAATACCTACGTCTTAAGTGATTAGGTGGGGATTCGGCCGGTCGGATTTTCCGTGGGGATTCGGCCGGTTTCTGATTTATTATTCAAAGTATGGAAAGTTTGGCAACAATGCACAGAACAAACATGAATAAAACGTGGTATACAAGAAATGAGCTATTTAACGTATTGTACTTACTTTATACTCAACGCTGAGACCCAATTCCTGAACTTTCCTCCAAATTGACTGGTTAAAATGAAAGTTACACCCGTGCAATTTTGCGTCTGGATATAAATTTGACAAAACGGATATGACAGCAATCTCAAAATCTAAACAGAAACTTTCTGGCTTCCACGTTGGAAATTTTTCGTTTAACAAATGAAATAAGCGTTAATAAGTACGTTTCTGCTTGTTCGGAAGTAAAGCGTAAAAAATAGGAATGCAGCAAAGAGAATGGTGGGTGCTTCTGTACTTTGCATGAATTGTATACAGTTGAGCAAATTGTTTTGGACATGCATAAAATGTCCCGTCAATAAAAAAGTCTTGTTTAACAGATAGTACTTCTTGGATTAATTTTGTCCATCCAAACACTAAAATTGGGTCTTTTTGACCGTCGTCACAAATTAAAAAATTGTATCCGTCCGACTGTCAGTTCACGACCCCGATAAGCATGATTTCAATCTCGAGATGTCACCAACATGATAAGAGTATTCCTCTGCTTCGCATTAGTACATTGTTGCCTAACTTTCCACACTCTGGATAATAAATCGGAGACCGGCCGAATCCCCACGAAAAATCCGACCGGCCGAATCCCCACCGTCCGAATCCCCACGCGACCGTCTTAAGTAATTCCTAACTTCCACATCACTTGAACGTCCTGCTTAAAACTCCCTCTCTTTTTGATTTAATATTAATATTCATTATATCCTTATTTGTCACCATCATTCCAGATTGAGTTCTACAATTCCTCAGAAATTTCAAGAAAAATTCAGGGAATAGTGGATGCCATGAGACCTCATTTCAGTTCGCAACCGGATTCCTACTATAGTGATGCTCTCTTCTTTATATCTCTTGGACTTCATCTGGTGGCTCCTACGACTATAAATAGAGCTGCTATGTTCGATGTTGATATGGAATTTAGAAGTGATATAGTTAACCTTTTTCAAGAATTCGATAGGTAATCAAAGTTTCTATTTTTAATAACATCAATAAGTACATACGTGAAATTCCAATTGCCAAGTGTAGGAGTATTAATCTGATAGATATCCCAAAAGCGAATTTTCGCGATCGAATATGGGTCATTCCACGTCAACGCAACCAAGCTCGGAACTCGACCCCCTCCGATTTGGCTGAAAATTGGTATACGGGGTCATTCTAAGAAACTAATTTGAAGGGTTTTCCCATCCGACCCCCAAAGATGGGGTGAATTTTGGCGATATTCGAAAACGCCCGTTTTAGCGATTCTCATTTTCTCGACTTCCCTCTCTTTGACTCTCCATAGCGAGACTCTGTATCAATCCATTATACTTTGAAATAGTGTTTCTAAACCGCTTTTTCATGAAGATTCTGAATATGCCATCGAAATTGAGCTAAATATGATTTAAATGACCGGAATTTAGGCTTTTTTAAAATTTACGATTTTTTCGCCATTCAATGTTTAAACTGAATTATCCAAAATACAGTCTCTCCGATTTTCGATTTTTTTTTAAACTTCAAGCTTAAGATACATACTTTTGGTTGATAAACTTTTTTCAATTGCTATCGGACGGTTAAGGGCCTAAAAAAATTCAAGTAGGCCAAAACAGGTCAAAAATTGGTACAAAAAAGACGATTTATTACATGTTAATCCAAATATTTCGATAATGAACACTTCAATTATCGATATTTGCCCCCCAGTTTACCCTCCAAGATGTATAAAATCAGACTATCAACGCTTTCCATACATTCACCGATCGATTAATGGCCTAATGGAAACCGGAAACCGACCGAAAATCCTCGAAATTGATGCAAAAAGACGATTTTTCACACCGTAACTGGTGCATTTCATGGATTGTAACTGCAATTTTCAATTTTCTCTCTCTATTTCAACTTTAAGGTGTATATACTTTCGAGTAATAAACTCTTACTAACGTGCATCGATGGGGCACGGATCCAAATGGAAATGAAAACCGGCCGGAAATGCTCAAAAATGACGGGAGAAGGCGATTTATTGCATAGTCAGGGGAGCGTGTGTTCGAAAATTACGTCCCGTTTGCACTTTTGTGATGCAAGTTTACTCTCTTCATTTTGGTCCCTAGAATGGGAAAATCTTTTGTGTCATCCGCCGCCAAGACAGCCATCTGTAGGCGGCAATAGAATGTTCAGTATCCGGTGATTGGAAATACGCGTGTGCACGAGGGGCATATAAATAAGTAATTTTTTCGAGTCAGTGAATCTATCCTGAAAATTTTTTTTCTAAATATATTTTTCTTTAATTTTTTTTCTCAATAATTCTTACTTTTCCATAATTTGATTTGATTTGTTTTTGATTTTTTTGTTTCCGATTTGAATCGGTCATATACAATGTTAAAAATCGTTGATTCCGTCCGACGGACAATCTGGAGTGAGAATGAGTAGGGCAGTGAGATTCAGTGCATAGATGCTGAGATGTGTCGCATGAGTGTGAAAAGCACTCCGCACCGGAGCTTCAGTAGGGCCCTAATTCACGCGCACCTCTCTCTCTCGCACCAGCGCTATATACTGTCTCTTCTCCCCTTTAGGCCTACCACTCCCAGAATAAAATTGAAAAATTTAAAGAGAAAACAAAGAAATAAAAGAATAGAATAGTAGAAATAGTAGAATAACAGAGACAATAGAAGAGAAATAAAATAAAGTAAATCAAATGTATGATAAAACTAGGGGGCCTGCCCCCTGATCGCTACGCGGCCCAACCCTCAAGAGGGCGCCTCGCGGGCCCTATACGCATGTGTATAGGCAAAAATTTTCTTCCATTTTAATACACCATTTTGTGTTCGAGCTGCATCGATTACAAAATTTTTGACGTAACACTCAGATTTGTAAATGATGAGGAATAGCTGAAAGTACATAATTTCACAGTCCACTTACTGGAGAAATTTCCATTTCTTACATTAATTTTAAATACTTAATTTAAAAAAAAAATCGGATTTCGACCGTTAAGAGGTAATAATATTTGGTCCGTCCCGACGCGACGCAGCGCCTGCCTTCTCACTTTATCTGCTGTTTATCTGCTATAAATATTAATAGAAATTCTGCAATCAAGTAAATGGACCAATGTCACAAATCGAAGCCGGAAGAATGCAGGAAAAATTGAGTTAAACCTCATACCTTGGACCTTGAACCTTGAACCCTGAGCGATGCACCGTTCCTCAACTCTTCGAATGAGGATCCCTTCACGAGCTTTTCCATTGTTTTATTGTTCATTCGAGTCACTCAGGTAGAATCCCACACCCTGACGTTTCTAGCGGAAACGACATATCTCTCACGCTATTAACATTGGAATTAAGTGACATGAGCTTTAAAAGCTCTACAACATAAAGTTCTAAGAGTTCGGGGTTTCATAATTTTTTGCACATCTACATCTACTACAGATGACATGCATGTGAAGACATCTACATCTACTACAGATGACATGCATGTAAAGATCATCCTTATCGGTCCGGCAGTTCGTCAGAAATAGTGCTTCCAAGATTTTGCTTGTAGCTGTATAATATAGATGAGGTCGAAGACTAAATGGAATTAAAGAATTAGAGGGAGCATGGAGATGAAGGAAAAAAAAAGAGGTGAAGAAAAAAATTAAGTAGAAGGGAAAAAACTAAATGAGGTTTAAGAATAGAATACTCCTCTCTTTTCTCCGCATTTGACGTTTTAGCCATTGAACCCAAGTAACAGTGATCGCGATAAATAGCGATTTTATCGGTAATTATCGGGATTATATCGGTGGAAATTTACCGCAATTTTATCGAATAAAAAATTGCGATTTATGGCGATTAAATCGCTTTGCATCGCAATTTTTTGTTTAATAAAATCGCGATCAATTTTTGTCGATAAAATCGAGATTAAATCGCCATATAGCGCGGTTTCGGTTGCGATAATATCGCGATAAATTGCCGGGCGATAAAATCGCGATTTTATTGCAACAAGATCGAGGATAATCGCTCGGATGTTGATGATCTTAGGGATTTTATCGCCGACAAAATCGCAGCAAATCGCGATTTTTCCGTTGATAAATGCTACTTGGGAAGAGCCAAAATCGGCCGCCATCTTGGATTTTGGGCATTTCCGTTGGTCGAATGGTCTGTATGACAATTTTTCTGGAATCTACGATCCAAAAAACATGAGAATCGACACCTCTCTTGACGTTTTGTGCCGTTTTACCAAAATTTCAATTTCAGCCTCCATTTTGGCCGCCATCTTGTTTTTGGGGCCTTTGGCATCAAAGTCGGAGAGTCCACAAAATATTTTCCCATTCTAGGGACCAAAATGAAGAGAGTAAACTTGCATCACAAAAGTGCAAACGGGACGTAATTTTCGAACACATGCTCCCCTGACTATGCAATAAATCGCCTTCTCCCGTCATTTTTGAGCATTTCCGGCCGGTTTTCATTTCCATTTGGATCCGTGCCCCATCGATGCACGTTAGTAAGAGTTTATTACTCGAAAGTATATACACCTTAAAGTTGAAATAGAGAGAGAAAATTGAAAATTGCAGTTACAATCCATGAAATGCACCAGTTACGGTGTGAAAAATCGTCTTTTTGCATCAATTTCGAGGATTTTCGGTCGGTTTCCGGTTTCCATTAGGCCATTAATCGATCGGTGAATGTATGGAAAGCGTTGATAGTCTGATTTTATACATCTTGGAGGGTAAACTGGGGGGCAAATATCGATAATTGAAGTGTTCATTATCGAAATATTTGGATTAACATGTAATAAATCGTCTTTTTTGTACCAATTTTTGACCTGTTTTGGCCTACTTGAATTTTTTTAGGCCCTTAACCGTCCGATAGCAATTGAAAAAAGTTTATCAACCAAAAGTATGTATCTTAAGCTTGAAGTTTAAAAAAAAATCGAAAATCGGAGAGACTGTATTTTGGATAATTCAGTTTAAACATTGAATGGCGAAAAAATCGTAAATTTTAAAAAAGCCTAAATTCCGGTCATTTAAATCATATTTAGCTCAATTTCGATGGCATATTCAGAATCTTCATGAAAAAGCGGTTTAGAAACACTATTTCAAAGTATAATGGATTGATACAGAGTCTCGCTATGGAGAGTCAAAGAGAGGGAAGTCGAGAAAATGAGAATCGCTAAAACGGGCGTTTTCGAATATCGCCAAAATTCACCCCATCTTTGGGGGTCGATCTCGCGAACGGGGCGTCGGATGGGAAAACCCTTCAAATTAGTTTCTTAGAATGACCCCGTATACCAATTTTCAGCCAAATCGGAGGGGGTCGAGTTCCGAGCTTGGTTGCGTTGATGTGGAATTACCCAAATCATCATCAAACGAATTGATCAGTGCTGAGTGATACCGATGATCGGTGATAGCAGGAGCCAATCAAAGTTCAGATTTCTTTTTAAAATGAAATTACGAAGATAATAAGAAAGCACGGAACACTTAATCACAGCAAATTGCAGAAACACCAGACTTGAATTGACAAAACGCAAAAACAGAAAGCAATGACGAAACAAAAATTCTGGTGAAGGATGAAGTTTCTGGCATCGATTGCATCAATTAAAAAATCGAATTAAAGTCCCGAGTTGAATTCGAAGTTTCAAATTGATGGATTCCAACGGTCTCCAGTGAGACCAAGGAAGAAGTCGAATATCATTTAGAAAAAATGTACAATCGTCGAATATCATTCAACTGTAAATGATGTTCAATCGCAAAAATTCGCTTCAAGTAGCACAGCGCAGCGAAAATACCGATTGCAATATTTTTACATCATTTAGTTGATTTAAGCCGATTTTAAACAAATACGAAAGTCAGCTCCATGTGTCAGAAAGATAGGTACTATGCAATGCAATGAATAATTGTAATTTATTTCAATCTTATTGCAATAAGTTTCAATTAATGAGGCCCCTCCAAATAGGAATCAGGCAACATACACAACAGTAAGTGGAATTACATTATTTTTACTATGTAATTGCTACTTATTGCAATCTGTGCTACTTGGGACCTACTTGTGCTACTTAAAATAATAACTACAGATATTGTTGAAATGTGCTCTTTATATCTACATGTAGTCCAGTAAATCTAGCTTTTTACCTCGGATGCATTAGCACAAACTCCCTTTGATACATGGCGTCTCCAGGTACCCAATAAGACAGAATAAAACTTTACCAAATTATCCCAGCCACAAAGTGGTAAACTGCAGTTTTTCAAAATGGCGGCTAAGGCGATTTTCTAAAAGGATCTTCGGACGGTTTTTCCTTTATATCTCAAAAATTATGTGTCAAACAAAAAAGTCGCCAGCCGTCAATTTCAGTTTTCTAGTTCATAATATTCTTGGCAAGAATCATATCTGAACCTTTGGCTTTTATTATTTTTTTCTTCCGAATTTTACGAATTGAAAACAACAACTGGCAAAATCTGCTAAAAATTTGCGGTTCTTTGTGTTATTTTCTTTTTTTTCTTTCTTTACCAGTTTTAGCCCGAAATATTTGGTCAAACGTTACAAACAATGAGACTGCTGAAAAGTAAGTTAAAGGGGCACGTGCAAAACGGTCCATTTCACGCTCGTGTCGGATACTATTGAAACTTACCCTATTCATTCATCTAACAATGCCCCATGTTTTCCCAAAGTTTCAAGTCCCCAAAAAATTTTTTTTTGGGGGAGGGGGAAGTGGCGGGCTGGCGGGGGATCAAAGTTGAAAGTCCGCGAATTTTTTACTCGAAAACTACGAAATATATCGAAACGCGGTTTAATTGAGCGTTTTCAGCGTGGAAAGAGCTTTCAGAAAATGTATAATATCATAGGGTTTTGTCGACTCAATCTCGAGTTATCGCCTCCGAAGCGCCGGAACGCTAAAAAATGACCCGCTTTTTTTTCACGTTTGGGCCGATCCCCAAAATAGCCCATTTTTAATTTCTTTAACAAAAACTGGTATGTTGTTCCTGACTTTCTGTAGCCCCTCTAGCTTTTTACCGCATGCTGAGGAAATGTTTTGTTCGCAAGTTATAAGCGCGGAAAGAAGCGAAAGTCGGGAAAATCGGCTCTTTTGAACTGCGTGCGTCGCATGGGCTAGAAGGAGAACGCCCCCGCCTGCTCAGTTTAGAGTCCCTTTATACCCAGAGTTAAGACAACTCACTTTTGGCTACCTTTTGGTTGGGCTGAAAGTGGCCTAAAAAAAAATCCAATTCTGATTGGTTCTCGCTCATGGAGTCACAAACGAGTGCACCAAGATGGCGGTGACTCGAATGTGAACAAAAATAATGAATATATTACCTAATTGTGGTTTATCAAAAGAAAATTGTTATTTCCATCGGTCCAAAATGAAAATAGATTAAGAAATCATTCACAAACCAATCTCATTTTCTTTTTAATTGATCAATTAGTTGATGTCGTTTTTGTGTGACAGACATCGCAAGATTCGTGATCCTTATCCCTCAATATCGCTCGTTTGGGTGCACTCGTTTGTGCCTCCATGGCCAGCCAAGACCGGCTGTCAGTCAGCTGATAATCGAGTTGTCTTAACTCTGGGTATAAAGGGACTCTATCTCAGTTCGGCGAATCACACTCCTCTGCCGACTTCGCATTGTTGCCACATGTCTCTTGATTCGTCGCCGCGCAAGATAGCCGGTTTTCCCGACTTTCGCTCCTTTCCGCACTTATAACTCGCGAACGAAACATTTCCTCAGGATACGGTAAAAAGGGCTTCAGGGAGTCAGGAACAACATACCAGTTTTTCGAAGAAATTAAAAATGGGCTATTTTGGGGATCGGCCCGAACGTGAAAAAAAAAGCGGGTCATTTTTTAGCGTTCCGGCGCTTCGGAGGCGATAATTCGAGTTTAATTCGACAAAACCCTATGATATTTTACATTTTCTAAAAGCTCTTTTCACGCTGAAAACGCTCAATTAAACTGCGTTTCGAAATATCTCGTAGTTTTCGAGTAAAAAATTCGCGAAAAATTCGTGGATTTACAACTTTGACCCCCCGCCAGCCCCCCGCTTCCCCCTCCAAAAAAAATTTTTTTGGTTACTTGAAACTTTGGGAAAACATGGGGCATTGTTAGATGAATGAATAGGGCAAGTTTCAATGGTATCCGACACGAGCGTGATATAGCCTGTTTTGCACGTACCCCTTTTACATGTGTCCACCCATTCTTTTTATTTTTCATGGCCTCTCTGTGAGCCGAATCATTTAAAAGTATGAAGGTAATATTTAACAACAAAGGGGCTTAATAGGAAACGGCAGCAAAGTCCCTCTACCAAGGCGAAAATCGTTAAAAATTTAAAATTTCCTGTGAAATCATTTTAAGCGTAATTCCTTTAAATACGCTTTCCAGTTCCGTTCTGTAAAATTTAATGGGAAACAACGCTTTTTTTCGTGTTATAAATTTCACCACCATTCTAAAAAGAATTTATAAGTTGTGCTTTGGGCGAAAACTAACCAATTAAATGCGCTGACAACGGAAAACACAGTTAAAAGGGTGTATTCAGAAACGGCAAAATGGCCCCTGGCGTGGTTTTGAACCAATTTATCCCAGTGCCATAACCATGGCAAGATTTATTCATCACATGTTTTTTCTTCAGATTTGGACCCCAGGCACTTTTTGGACTTGCTCCAGAGTTGACACCTGTTTACCGTCACATTCTGTACCGCTATCGAAATCTTCACAAGGATACCCTTTTCGGAAAGTCATTGATCGAAGGTGGATATCCAGGACTCAACAGTGGTGTCATATTATTCCGATTGGACAGGATTCGCCAATCCGATGTGTATAACATGCTCTTACAGAAGAATAGCTCTGACTTTTTGGCGAATAAGTACAATTTCAAGGTACGTTTAGTTGACTCAGTCCATAGTACGCCCCAGTGAAACCTTCCCAAGTAGAACTCAGTTTTTACAAAATGAAAAATAGGAATGGTAAATGAGGAGAACCAACGAGTTTGGAGATAGACATTATGTATTTGTAAAGAACAAGTGAACAAGTCCGACCTGCACCAGGGTGCGTGACGTCATCAATATTGCAGTGTTGCCAAGTGGTAGAACATAAAATCCCCTCTTTTTGGGACACTGACAAAGAAACAGTTTTCACTGTGCGAAATACGTTTAATGACTTTAAATAACAATAGAAAGAGACGGATTCCTTATCTTGATAGAACCAAAGTGAACTACTTACAATAAAGGAGTACAATTATTTGTGAGGAAAAGAGCACTTAGTACATTCTTTAAAGTGAATATCTAAAAATGAAGAAAGAATATCCGAAGATACATTTTTTAAAAATAAACATGAAGTTGATTTACTAGGGAAATAACCACTAAGGAAAGGACAGAGAAGAAGAAAGAACTAGCGAAATTTGTTCTAGATCTACATCCCAAATAGCACAGTGCAACGAATGAGTTGCAATTTACTCAAACTGAATTTCGATTTTGCCTCAATTTTGTTTAATTAAGTTTGAAATTTTTTTTACACTTTAACTGCAGTTTTTTGGCAACATCTGCACCACTGCAAAAAAACGGCAATTTTGTTTCTGCAAAAATTGCAATTAAATTGTTAAAAAAAATGAAATTAAATTTAAACATGCTTCAATTTAAGAAAATCCAATTTTTTTTGGAAAAAAATGTGACCCGGAAATTTAGCCCTTTCTTTTCTTTTGGAGAAGTCATTGTTACAGTACATTTCAAAAAAAAAATAAGGTGAACAGAATATGAAGGTGACCCGCCCCTCCGGAAGGAAGCAATGAGAATTGATTGCGCTTCATTTTTTTTATCAAGGAAGAAAAAAGATTTTCTTTTCCTTCGATGAATGATTAGATGCAGGCTGATTTTAATATTTCCTCCCTGTTGCATGAATGATTCCTCTTTATTCATCTCTGAATCGTCATTATTTTCTAAAAAAGCCGGTAACTATTCCTTTGCAAGGTTATTGTAAATTTTTGTGAATGATTAATAGAAAAATTTGTAGAAAAACAAAAGTATAATCAAAAGAAATGAGGAAAAACTAGAATTACATCAAGGAATTACAATTCAAAAATAAACTTTGAACATTTTCAAGAATCCTTAACAATAAGAAATAGGAATAAAATGGTTCTCATAGGTTGTAAAAAGGTATATTATCACAACATTCCTATCCAGATAATATTGCAGTTAACATGTAAAACTATTAAAGCTCCCAAAAAGCCTTATCAAAGCTAGGCACAATATAGGTAACTGCTAACTTATTACAGAAAAAGTGAACACACTAAATATGTACTAAGAACATTGAACCCTAAAAAGAGGACTTTACAAAAACCATTTCTTATAGTTAGCACAATATATAGGGAGTAAATTAAGTAAAGGAAATTCAGAGAAAGAAAATAGTAAAGAAAAAATAGGAAACAACTTATTCATAGCTTGTTTGAAATGGAATGATCCGTTTGGTTTACTTCCATGAACGATCAACTTGAGAAAACCTTGAAGAATGTGCGGAAGATATTCAGCTCTGAAAGAGTTCTAAATATTACAGCTGCTTCAACCCAAAGCCAAATTTAATTATAAATTTGAGGGAAGTAAGTTGACAGAGAAACAAACGCACATCAGTTGTGGTCCACCACAATGCAGATTAATCTACAAATGACCTTAAAGACAGTTAAGAGAATAAAGCTTTGAAAAATCAAAGAAAAATAACTTTGGAATTGAGGAAAAATTTACTGAAGACAAAAAAAATTAAAATTTAAAGAATCAAAGAAAGAAGAGCAACTGATGCTGTAGTGTCATCAATAGGCAGCATTATTTAAAGGTTACCTTCCACAGTTAAAATTTGAGAAAACTTTGCTTGAAGTGCTGAAGATATTCAGCTCTGAAAGAATGCTACATATTACAGCAGCTTCAGTCCCGAAGGCTTTAATTATAAAGGAGGTAAGTTGATAGAGAAACAAACGGACATCAGTTATGGCCCACTACACTGCAAATTAAATCTACAAACGACCTTAAAGACATTGACGAAAATAATGTTTTGAAAAATCAAAGGAAAATAACTTTGGAATTGAGGAAAAATCTACTATAGACAAAAAAAAATTAAAATTTAAAAAATCAAAGAAAGAAGAGAAACTGATGCTGCAGTGTCATCACTAGGCGGCAGCATTATTTGGTCTTCCACAATCAATCAGGAGCTGGCCCGAGGTTTGATCGGTCAAGTCTTTGTAATCAGAATATCTGCTTTTCCACACTTTCCGGACAACATCTGAAATGAAATTGAAAAAATTAAAATTAAAGCACTGACGATAAAAAATGTTTGAAAATGAGGGGCCAATAGAGGAACAACACTGAGGCTATTAATTATGATGAAGCCAAATGGAAAGAGAGAGAGTGAGACCAGGACAAAACCGATTCTGGATAATGGAAAACAACCTGAGTTCGTTAAAGCAAGTTGATACAAACTATTTTTTTTTACTACTTCAAATATCCCACAAGAGACACTCCTGCGCTTCAGGCCTGTCCCCCCGCAGTCCCTACTGAACAACCAGCCCACAGTGTGTCAAAACCCCAATCTAGCTGCTCAAAACCCCCCTTATATCAAGTCAAAAAATGGTGTTATTTATGGTCAGAGTGGGTCCATAGGCACCCACTGGTTACGTATCTATCATGATTATCACAAAAATAAATATTTTGGTCGCTAAAATGATAGGGATTGCAGCCGGTAAACGTCCAGCCTCAATCTCGCTATCAGGAGTGGTGCCACTGTATTGCTTTTTTTTAGAGTACTTCGTGGCGAAAAAGGGTCATTTCTGGATGAAACGAGATGCCAAAGGCCAGAGAAAGGAAATATGACCGTTGATTTCTCCAAAATCATTATTTAAGTATTATAATTGCTCATTGAAAATAGTGCCCAAGACCGTTTACTTTTCCTGGCTTTAATAGAGCCGCAAAAGCGCGGAACTACACGGAACACCATGAAACTTATATGAGAGTGTTCAGAAAACTATCTGGATTTGAAATATCTTTAGTTTTACTGCGACCTTCCGCGACCTTGAGAGTGAGAGCACATTTTCTTCGGCGATTCCTAGTGTAAAAGCGTGCGGGCGGCGTTTTGCGATCTCCCCCTACAGGCTGTCACAGGTGAATTGAGACGGAGGCAGCATCTCACCACGCGCGCTCGGTCCCCTGATTTGAGTCAGCCTTATCATGAGGCTTTTCCCCGTGGCAGATAAGATCGTGTGGTGGCTCTGTTGACTGCTTCTTTCGTTTTTACCTGCATGATCGGGGTTCAAATCCCGAGCAGACTAATTTTTTAAAATTTTATTTTCTTTCATTACGATTTTCCCATTGTCTATACTGTCATGGAGGGGGGTCCTCATAAATACAAAGTTGCATCGTATTTTTAACAAGTTTCTTGTATGATTTGAAAGAGACTTTCTTATTTATTTCTAATGAGGGAAGGTTTCGGACATGGTTTATGAAACGTAGGAAAATGAATCGGAGGGGGGAGGGGGATCGGAAAACACAATTTGACTAATTTTTGGGGTTCATCAGGTTACATAAGGCGCCTAAAATTTAGTTGAAATTTTAAGATTTTTACATGAGTTGAACAGGATTTTTAGATGGCTGCCATTTTGAAAATTTTGATGACTAAGTTTTGAAATTTTAGGTGAACCTTCTTCAAGCTTACACTAATGCCTGTGCGAAATTTGGTGGTTATCCGACCAAATTTAGAGACGTGAGGAGGTTTTGAGCAGCTAGATTGGGGTTTTGACACACTGTGCAGCCCCAGGCAACCATTGATTAAGACTATCAAACTCTGGTCGCCTGGCCAGGAATCAAACCCAGGACCTCCTGATCATAGAGCTAGCGCTACAACCACTACACCATAGAAGGCCGACAAATAATGCCTAGATCTGACAAAATTGTCTCTCTTGATATTAGGGAAAATTTGGAAGTTCCCTCTATAATAGAATCACAGGAGTCTTAAGGTGACAATGAATTCTGGGATTAAAAAAACAAATTGAAAAACTGGCTCATCATCCCCCCCCCTTCCTCCAATACACTGAAAATAGACCTAATTTTCAGATAGAAAAAGAGTTGAAAAGTTGCTGGGGGAAAGACCTCTTACCTAAGATGAGCTGAAAAGTCTTGAGGCTCTTGAATTTCTTCTTTTTTTCGGCATTTTTCTTGTTCTTATGCCCTCCTTTTAAGCTGTAAAGTGCAAGCAGTTGTTCTGACATTAACTCTCTAGTCATTTTCCTTGCTGTTTTTGATACGTAGCCATCATTCTGACTTTCATACGCATATACCTTTGCCTGAAACAAACAAAATAAGTATTTGTGATATTTTGGGTGAAAGATTATATTTGATTCCAATTACCTCCTTTCAGAAGATCCATTTTTAATACGTAGCTTGATCAATTATCAGATGGACTACCATGCGACACCCACAAAATAACAATATATTCTATATAAGTTGCCAAACTCCTGCAGATTAAAATACTCTAACTTTTGCAAAGCCATTACAAAATGTGGGCTGCATTTTTAGCACCAACTTATCTCAACCAGAAATTTAGAGCAAAACCCATTTTGCTGCGAGCAAAAATATTGAGTCTTCGAAATATACCAAGACTTACTTTTATTCATGAAATTGTGGGAAGCTGATAAAATTATTGTCTGTGAAGATTTTATATTAATATAAATTCATAGGTATTAATATATTCATAATAATTTTGGAAGGGATAAAAATCTTTTCAAAGTAATCGTTGGTTTCAGGGACAATTTAAGTGCCCATTAGAAAAAAATCACACACTCCTGATACTTTGCGCCTGAGAAGTTTTTTCAGTGGATAAAAACAGGCTATGCAGCACTGCATTTTGTTCATCAAAATACAAAATTACGCTCCGTCAAGAAAATTAAACGGCTAACTTTGCATTGCCAAAATCAAAGCAATGAGAGATTGCTGACACGAGTAAGGATGAAAGGAGAAACAAGTTACACAGCTGAAATTGGAAAAAGATGAAAAAAGCCTAGAGGCACTGAGATGGCTAATTTATACAGTGTAGATACATAAAAGTGCACAAATACTTACAAGAAGATCAAAGAATTTGTTGTCTTGTAATTTTACTTCAAAAGCATCAAGACTCTCTTGCTTTGTGAGCGGCAGCGCCTCTGCCAAATCTTCTGGCACCTCCAGATTTCCCCACTCGGCAGGAATTTCAGTCGGGGTAGCGATTATTTCACCACCTTAATTCTTCTGTTTTTTGGACTCCTTTAGTAATGCAAGAACATCGCCTGGAAGAAAAAAAAAATTCGTGCTTTAGTGAGTATCTGGTTCAGAATCAAGCAGAAGCACTACTTGTTTGAAATCATTCTTATTTGAGTAGAAAAATGCAGCTGACAGCAAACTATGTTTTAAGATGAAAATCATGAGAAGGAATGATATGAAGATTCTGCACCGCAGAAATACTTTGACAAGAAATCAATGCTAAAATTTTGACCGAAAAATTTCATTTTAAACTTGTGGTGTCTAAAAATTAAGAAAAGAAAGTGAGCATGCAACTGATTGAGCCAGAGATCGGTTTGCACTGATCTTTGCCTTCGTCAGCTGCATGATGAATTGGGCAATTTTATATGTTTTTCTTATCACGTGGTGTCTCCTACCTTCATTGAAAGCACCTGGCAAATTCTATATTTTACTATTATGTAAATACACGTCTTTTCCTGAAAACTTACGATAGAATTAAGATCACTTGGAGTTTCAAAATGATGAAGAAAATCAGTTTTAATACTTTACCACAGATTTGTGGTTATCCTAAATCAATCATTTACTACCAACTGAATGGTCTGATTTATGATTTTTTTAGGGGGGACAGGGATGCAAACAAATTTGAGTTCCCACACTTCCCACGACCACAGTCTTAGTCCTTCCACTTTTTCGATTTTCTTTTCATCGAACGTCTCAAACTTCAGAGTCTGTGAAGTGCATGAAATGTGCGGTGAATGGTTCTTTAATGAAAATTTATCAACAAATCTGGCAGAAACAATTGATGGTTTCCTACATTTTGCAGGAACACTGAAAATGCATTTTTTTTTTGCACCCCTGAACAGAGATTTTAAGAGAAAAGCACTTACCAGAAAGGGCGCATAAGGAATGCATAATTGCTTCCTCTGCAGAGCATTGATATCGTAGTGGACACGTGTGCTTAATTTTTTTCCCTGCTTATATCTTATCAGTTTCACCGGTTTGAACAAATTTTGTTTAACCATCGATGTTGATTTGCGGGGTGATTCCAGGTCTGAGGGACCATCTGACATCATGAAAGTACCTGAGTCACCATTTAATTCAGAAATTTCTGGACTCAATTGATGATTGCTCGACTGCTCTGCAGATTCCGAGATTGGCTGTTTCAATTGCGATGGTTCAGCGGAGCCTTTCAAAGCGATCGATTCATCTCCAGCCGATGATTTTTTCGAATGAATTCTCCGATTTAAAATCGAATTAGGTTTAGGAGTTGGAATTACTGAGCTAGTAGACTTTACTTCTCCTTTGCATGTTGAGGGCTTAGGTTGGGGGGGTTTTGGCGGCGGACCGAGCTCTTTTGTCTCAACATTCTTCTTCTCTTTCCGTGTAGGCACTACTTCAGGTTCCTCTTCCTTGCTGGTTTCGTAGTCTGTTACAATTTTTTTTTTCTTCACCCTCCGTCCTCTTCCTCTCTCCTCTCCTTCGGAGGAAGATTTAGATTTTCTATTGCGTGTTAGGCGAATACAGTCATCGTAGGCTGCTTCAAATGTTTCTGAAACAGCGTTAAAGGGATGACCAGAAACAATGTAAACAATCTAAAATACTTAGCAAACAAGACAAAAGTTCAGTAAAATTGCACATAAAGAAGCCTTGCTAACACTGCTGGTACTTGAAAGGGCGAGTATCATATTGAAAAAAATTGAACTGGCAATAATTAACATTATTTGTTCCTTTACATTCAATACCTACTCAAAGATAACACCCGACAGAGCGCAAAAAATAAAATTGACACTTTAAGGCTTCTACTACAAAGTCGAGGGTCTTCCGAGAAAAAAAAAATTAATCTTATGATTGATAATATCACAATAAGATCTGTGACAGAATTTCTTGTTAGCACACAATTTTCATGATGGTAGGACTATTTAAAAAATATATAGTTTATTGAATAATGATATTTATATTAAACATGAAGTCACAAGAAGTATGGGTGAATTTTGAAAATTTACTTTTTGCACTTACCATAGGTTGATTTGACAATTTCATAATTCGTCTCCATTGGGATGGCTTTGGACGCTAATTTCAGAGCCGTTAAAGCAGACTCACAGGGGTATTTCATTTCATGTTTATTTATGATCCAGATATTAGGAACCGTGTCCACTTCATAACTTTCATCAAACAGTTTCTTTACTACTGAAAACATTTCCTGGAAAGATGAAAGCAATAATAAGACTTGTTAACGGCATGAACATTAACCAATAAAAACATTATCACATTGATTTTTGTGACATTTGAAATGAAAAACGCATCGAACTTTAATGTATAATACAAACTCATTTACCAGATGAACAACGTTAAGGGGAAAAAAGGACACAACTACAAGGCCGCAAAGGTAAAGTAACTTGTCTTCAGAGTAACCCACGTATAATTTAATCAGTGTTGAAAAACAATGTCCCTCAAAATTCAAGTTACTTAGAAATGTGGGTCGAATGGAAAAAAATTAACAGAACCCTTTCAAACGTTCATGAAATTTACAACATTTTGAGGCTCTTTTTGCAAGACTGCTCAGTTTTTAATTTCAAGAATTTGAAATGGAACTTAATAATAATACTGAAAAAGATTGTTGATCGCCAAACCAGAGAGAGTTAAAATTAAGCTTCAATCACTTCCACACTTGTTTGTTTATGCTTCTAAACATACCTGTTCTTTGCAAATTAAATAATACATGCACTTTCTGTAAATGCTTGTATCGTTATAAAGCATCCAAATTTACTTACTTTCAATGGATGAAAGTTGGTCACTTGTTGCACTGATCACAAATTACGTAGCTCAAATAATCAGTACCTAAATCTCAAAGATTATATAAGCAAATTGAACATTATCTAAAACAACCCAAGTACGATAAATAGCGAACCATAAATTTAATTGAAGAAATAAATAAATGACTACTGGAAACTAAAATGGAGTACGATGATCCTCATATTGATGCTAAAATTTAGGAAAAAAACTATTGTGAATCAAACTATCATGATCATCGGGGAGATAAAGCCTTACAACAAAGACTTGACAAGTAAACAAATTTGGACAATATCGTAGACGATCAGATCATCAATGAAGATTATGACACCGTGATACAACAGGTCGGCAAACACTTTGTTCAGAGCCCTACTAAATGATGATGATCCATTTTTAATGCCNAAGGTAAAAAACTTTACATGAGAAGAAACTTAAAGGTGCTATTATTTTATGTGAGAAGAAATTATTGATCAATCTTTACAACTATATCGACATGATTGATAGCATTTACATCATTAATTTAATGTTTCAGAGAAAAACTTCAAAACCTAGTAGTTTAAACAGAAGATGATTTTATGTACAATTGAGGACACACCTCTAAACAAATTCATGCAAGCAACTTCAGACAGTGCAGCAAAGGGTAAAGAATGGTATGTCCTTTACCATCTGGAAAGGCTGCGTATTGAGTTGAGATTTTAGAGATTTTCCACCATCTTAAATCTGACAATCTTGTCCCTTTGAAAATGCCAAAACAAGAGCTATCAATGTGAGGTTCACCAAAAAAACTCGTTAGGTCCGTGAAACTTTTTCCGATCAAAACAACTTCTCCCTCTGACTCTGAAAAAGCAAACTTCTCTATTTTCACAATGGTACCACTTTCTAATCCACAGTAACAGTCGGCTTCATTGGCAGTGGAGAATGTGAAGTTAGGTAGAATTGCTTTCTTATACTGGGGATCGGTACAAAACAAGGGAAATGGTCCATTTTTATGACTGATTCTGAACTCTAATTGAGGCTGCTCCGACGAACCATACAATCTCTCTGCAGCCTTGCCATGGTTCTTTTCAATGAGGCGCTTGACCAGTTGCTGCAATTCTCTTGCAGGGCCTCTCGTGGCGAGGCGTTTAATGATCCCATAAAAGTTTTCAGGAGGAAATGCTGAAATGTCGTTTGCTAAAAAATCTGGGATAAACTGAGAGAAATATTCAACATCATCTACAACATGTAGAAGACTATGAAAATTAATGACCATTAATTCTGGACCGTAATAGTCTGGATGTTGGCCTGACTGAATGAAGTACAGAAACAGACGCCTGGCATATTGCAGCAGTTCTGGATCGGCACAATATTTAGAGCAAAATACAATTGTTGTTGCGATGTGAAGCTGTAAGAAATGGTCACACTTTGCAGGCGACAAATAATCCTTCAAAATCACAGGACCGACGTACAAAAGAAAAGATCGGTACTCGGTGGCCTTCCACTTCAAGGATACCTTGCCAGTTTTCTTCTTAACTGCCATTCCTTGAAGTTTCCGTTGGAAGACATTGGGCATATGATCTTTCAACGCCTTTATGCGGTTGAAAAAGGATTCGCATTGAGCAACAGAAAACTTATGAGGCCTGCCCCCATTCAGCCATGTTTGCAGCAGAGTTTTGCACAATCCTTGAAAAAAAAGATGCATCGAGTCAAGAACAAACATCCTACCAAAATCAATTTGTTCGATCTCCTCTAAAGGGGTGGATACGTCTGGGTGACGATACTCAGGGTCTGCCCTCGACCTAAACTCCTCGTCTGTTCTTAGGGCCTTGTCCGTCTCTAGGTAGACCCTTTTGCCTTCGTAGGTAATACCTTCGATTTTACATCGAGAACAGCAGGAATAACCTCCATGGCCTTTAGTTCCCATTATGAATTCCCTAGCTGGAGCATCACAGGAAAAGCCTGGTATGCGGAATTCATAATGCCGCCCTTGGAAGTGGAATCCACTTTCTAGAAGTTCCAGTAATTCGTCAACAAACAATCTAAGAAAAATTTCAACTCTTTTCGGTTTTCCTGGTCCTCCATAAAGACCAATAGGAAAAACTGAATTAAGAAGTTCCCGAAAGACCGGGAAATACATGACAATAAGCCATAATTCAGAAAAACTACTGTTTCGAAGACTCAGGCCATCCACATTGAAGAGCATAAAAATAACTACAATTCCCACGTGTATGTGAGTTAAGATGAAAGGTAAGTGTTCCTTTATTCCAACATATTTGAGGTGTCCAGGAGGAACAGGAACCAGTTCAACCTTCCCCCTCGGCGTTTCCAGAATGGTTCGAGCATCAATGTGCAAATTCTGAAAACACTGCGGGTGACAATCTCTCAATCTCCTGGCTAAATCACCGAGTGCAGAAAGGGTGATGTTGTGTTCCAACGCCCAGTCTCTTAGTTCTCTCTCTACAACAGCAGCTGCCTCAATCACATCACCTGAATCATCATAACCAGGATCATCATCACCATCATCCTCATCTGAGAGCGTACCTGTATCAGACGGTACATCGGAAGAGGAAGATTCCTCAGAATCTGCGTAGTCACCGTCTGAAAATACCTCGATAAATTGTAAATCGATTTCCGAACCTGCTTGTGATTCAAGCTCTGTAGGACCAGAAGCTGCCTCATCAACAGGAAAATTATCTTCTGTGAAAACTGGATCAAGGGGTAAGACATGTTCGGGACTAGGAGCAACAGAATTCTCAGTCTGACCCAGCTCAACTGCATTCTCATAATCAGAAGATTCTGAAGAAGAAGAATAGCTAGGTAACAACCTCCTCCGTTTTGTCCACCGAGACTGAGAATTAAATTCACCCGGCCTCCTGTAATTTTCAGACATTGCTCAAGTGCATGCATGCAACCCTTAACCTAACCTGTCAATCAAATCAGTATATTGGGAAAAACCAATAGATGGTCAGTCATTACCTACTTGCGGAAACACTCTGTTCACAACACAAAAGTACCTCGATTGTTTAACACTCACTGAACAAAAAAACTCATATATCTTCTAATTTACGTACTTACTAGTGGGAGTGAAAGTGGCGTGTGCGTGACCGTGATCCGATGAATGTGAATGCCGATGGGATGATGAGAGGGAACATCGGCGAGAATATCCGTTAAAACTTCTTCCTAGCTTTGTTCCTCGCTGGAAAATGGCGGGCGAAAATAAACAGCTGGCAACTGGCGAAAGAGCACAGTTGCCAAACGAGCACATTGAACAACAAAAATCGACGTCAAGGCTAGGGAATTTCAACGGCGGAAAGCAAAAACTTTATCTCTCAGCTGAAGAACATACCGCTTACGACTAATTAACGCCCACCTCGGTCCCTCTCACAATCGCGAATAAATCATAAAATTTATTTTTCATCTCAATTATACCTATGTTTAGCAATTTGTAAAACTTTCAATATTTATTCGATGTTTAAAATTTTCCAATTTGTCACCTCTTTGAAGTATGTGTTTGTACTTTGGGGGAAGAACCTAACCTTGGTACAGGCTGGTCGAATGTTTAAACTTAATTTCAATCTAGTTGCAACACTCTAGCGCCTTACATTCTAAGTATAAGCAACCCGCCCGACATCTTTAAACTGCAATTTTATTTCAATAAAATTGAAACTTTCGTTCTGAAAAAATTGCAACAAATTGCAACACTGCAAAGTTGAAACTTTTTTACTGTGACCTTGCAATTTGTTGCAATCTGTGCTACATGGGATATTGTTTTTATTACTGATAACGCGACAGGATGCACAAGTTACCAGCCTCACAGGGCCAATATCCCTAAGTCCAACAACCTAGACACGTTAACCAACCAGTCCCCCTATTAAAGTATTTTTAGAATTCTAAAAATATGCATTAGGAGCTTAATAGGGAGCTTTTGAGCGTTAGGCGCACAATCCTGAAGTTGAGTGTAGAGTTCATTGATCGTTAGGCACACAACAATTTTTAACAGGTGCAAAATGCATTACTTTTTAATCTATAAAGCAAACTGGACGCTCAACTGGCCTTCTGCAATTCGTATTTTGTGGTTTTCCTGGTCCGATGTGATAAACCGATAAAACCCCACTTTATCTCCTATCATCGTAAATCATCTGTTTTATTTTTTCTGATAATGCTAATGATACGTCTTCAGCTCTTACTCTCTTTTATCTTTCTTGTGAACAATTCAATCTCGTTAGGAGCCTCGGCCCGATCAGATCAAAGGCTTCACTCTCACTCTTGGTCTTGGTCTTGGCTTGTCTCAACCCTCACCTCAACTCTACTGCGCTCTTGGTGAATCGTTTCTTGAATTATTTCCTATATTGAATTATTTAATATATTTTGCCTTTTCCGATTCTTTTTCAAATTCAAAATAGAATCTTACCATTTTTTCATGTAAATATTGCTCAGAAATAAATTGTGAAAAACGCCTATATTTTTTGTCCTTTTTCTTTTCTTGATTATTAAAATAAGACCCTTCAGATTACAATTGTGCATGAATGTATAAATCAGTTTGCTAATTTTCACTCTCCCACTCTATTTCGACAGGTGTAGTTGTCCAAATACTTGTATTTTCACTTTGTGGGTGATTTTCAGGGTAAGTCGTCAACTATGTCTTATCAACTGCTCCTCCAGCGATAAGAATTGCTTCCGTGTGAGAGTAAGCTGCAAAAATATGAGGATACACTCAATATGGAATTAGGTCTGTCACTGAAGGAAGGAGATCCACTCCTTTTAGTTTGCAATAAGGTGTGCTTCTCGCAATTGGGTTCCCAGGTTTCGGCACCAATTGCGAGGACCACACCCAAAGGCATTGAATAGAGTAGACCGTGCACTCCCTATCTCCGCTGTGTCAGGTGAGCGAGGCCAATGCGGCGGGACTCCGTGATAGGCGGGAGGGGTGGGAGCTCGCGACTGAGCCCCATGCAGCACGAGCCGGCGTTGCGCGTACTTGGAAAGATCAGTTGCGCGCTCAGATTTTCGCGAATCACTCGTTAATTTTCGGCAGAATTTACAAGTACCACATGTTAAGAGCATGAAATTTACTATTACTCTGAACAATTTTCGTTTCTCTACAGTCATGACTGACTGGGAAAAACGCTTCATAATTGAGAATTTGAGGAAAGTGACCTGCGTATCAGACGGATGTTCTTATAATGCGTGCAGCTTGTAAAGATGACGGCGTGAATAAGAAGTTTGTAAAAGGTACAAAAAGGATTTAAAATGAGGTCAATCATATAAATCAAGGGTAAAAACGAGGAATAATGTTATGTATATTGTACTTAA